CGGGTTCCCACGGCGCGTGGCTCGGCGAGCTTCGAGCAGCGCAGTTTTTGTATCGATCCTACATATATGCTCGGCATATCACGAGCCTAAAATATCTTTATCATTCCCACGGCGCGTGACTTGGCGAGCCACGAGCTTATCCGAGCCGTTCAGAACTCCCTCTTTTTTGAGGAAAATTAAGTTATCAAATTTCTCAGTTCAAAATGGCTAGTGCTCGAGATCAGACGCAAGTCGCTGCTTGCGCAGCTGCGTATTTTGTGATGGTAAGTGGCGAGTATTTAAAAGAAAAATTAACCCAAAAAGAAAAAAGAAAATCCAAGGAAAGAAGATACTGGATGCATGATATTTATAAAAGCCGTACTAGGTAACGTAAAATAATAATTATTAATTTCAAGTTTTTTTTAATTTGAATACTTGCATAAATATATTTTTTTTATATATTAGTAAATACGCATAATATGTTAATTTATTTATATCAATGTTTAGTTTTTTAATATAAATATATTTACGAGTATGAAGATAATTTTAAACTTTAAATTTACATATAAGGTCATAACAGTTTATAATATTTTTAATTACATATTATAAGCTAGTGCTTTAACTTGCAGTAAATAACATCAATTAAAATAATATTATATTTTATAGATACAATGCAACGAATTTATTACAAGATTTAAGACAAGGACCATCAAATAAATTCCAAAACTTTTGTAGAATGTCTGCCACAGATTTTGAATACCTTATTCAAAAAATTGGTCCAATAATATCAAAAAATGATACAAACATGAGAAAGTGCATTCCTGTTCAAGAAAGGCTGGCTGTGACTTTAAGATTTTTAGCTTCGGGTGATAGCTTTAAGAGCTTATCTTATTTATTTAGGTTTTCCGTTCAAACTGTTTCCAGATGTGTACAAGAAGTTTGCAAGGCTTTAAATGAGGAGTTAAAATCTGAAATCACGGTAAAATATTTTTATTTAAATTAAAAATACTTCTTTTATCATTAATTTTTAATATAATAATTAATAATATATACAAAAAAAAAAAAAAAAAGATAAAATACAATTTGAAAGTGATAAGTGGTAATACGTATAATATAAAGTTTTTGACATACCTAGTCAAATTTAAAATAAATTAATAATATATAATGTATTATTAAGAAATTACAAAAATAACATAACAAAATAACAAATATACAACAACTTGGTATATAAATGAAAAAAATACAAAATAAACTTTTGTGCATTGACTGCATTGCATTGTATATAGCATGTCTATACTATGCCCCTTAATCAGACATTTTTTCTCCTATATTGCTGTATTGTGATGGTGTTGGTGATGGATTTTGAAATTGATGTGAATATGGAGATGGCATAGAGACTGGGTAACTAGAAGAGGATTGGTTTTGCGATAAATTAAAATATGTAGATGGCATAGATGACATGTACTCGGGTGATGGTTGAGGCTGAAGAGATGACGATGATGATGATGCGGTTGAATAATTATCACTAATTAAATTTTGCGAGTATGATGTTGGGAAATTGGTACTTGGAAATTGATAATATGATGGTGGTTGTACCGGTTGTACCATTTGGTCAGCAGAATGTTTGAGCCGAAACATAATATTATCAATTTCCATCATTGCGAGGTCTTGTTTTTGTTCACTAAGTGCTTCTAATTTGACGCATAGTAAATCACTGAAGAGTGAACATTTAGTTTTCGCTGGAGTTTGAGATATCTGTTTCAAAAAATTAAATGCCTCATCCATCCTAATCTCAATTTTTTCGACCTTATCCTGATCATTTTTTCTTTTTTTAGTAACCTTTTTACTAGATGGACTTTTAAAACAACTTTCGATATTCTGTGATATATCTGTTTCGGAAGTGTCCTGTAACTGACTAACATCGGTCGCATTTTCACAGACATCTAACGAATTTTCCAATTGCTAAAAATAATAAAAATTATGTTATACTCATGTTTGCGACACGTATAACAGGTGTGTATCATGAAGTTCTGATAAATAAAATTACTTTTGTCCTAATCAATATTAATAATAAATTTAATTTTTAATTTTTAGTTAAAAATAATTTTTTATATATTATTTATTCTATGACCTTTCTTTCCTATTGCAATTATGGATTTATCTAAATCGTAGATACCACTATCATTATTCGGATATACATATCCATGGTTATCGAACTCAAGATAAAAATTTTGTTTTGACAACTTGTTTTAGATTCTGAACAAAGTAAAATTTTAGATAACCAAAAACACTTGAATATTTAATACAAGGTTCTTTATGAGTTTTTCTTATTGTAGTTAAAAAAAAAAAAAAAAAATCAAAAATCGTTAGTCACAATTTTTTTTTATAAACGTTTATAGATCAAATTTTTACGAAATACGTCAAAATCGCGAAAATTTGCAAGTAATTTTGTAGTTGAAATATCATTAAATTTTTTTGTGTTTATACCTAAGGTTAAAAAATTCACCACTAAGTTTTCCTTCAAATAACTATAGAGAAAACTCGTATTTCATAGATACTTGGAAGTTTTTTTTTTTTATAAATATCGATTATTTCATTTGTTAAAACTTCATGATACATCTGTGTATAGTATAATTTAATTATTGTATTTTTTAACCAAAATAAAAATCTAACTAAAATTTTTTTTGGAAATATTCTATACAGCCAATTTTTAAATCTATTGTTATTGGAAAACTTTTAATTGTCAAAATATTTATTTAAGTCTTTTTTTATTTTTATAATTTTTTTAAATTCTAAATTAAAAAATCTATAGAACTCATTAATTTGAAAAATTAATACTTTTTAAAAATAAATTAGATTTTAGCCAGTACATATTTAAAAATTAAAAATGTAACGTAATAAAATTATAATTTTTGTTTTTTTAGTTGCCAAAAAATTCGAGTGATTGGAAAAAAATATCATTAGAATTTAACGAAAAATGGAATTTTCCCAACTGTCTCGGGGCTATTGACGGAAAACATGTAGTTATCCAATGTCCTGTCGGTAGTGAAACGGAATATTATAATTATAAAGGGACTTTTAGCATTGTGCTCATGGCTGTAGTAAACGCAAATTATGGTTTTACTTTTGTAGATATAGGCTGTCAGGGAAGGATCAGCGACAGTGGTGTATTTCGAAATACATCGTTTTTTAAAAAATTGGATGCAAATGATTTGTTATTGCCAGATGAAGGAATACTTCTCAATACAAATGTGTCGCTACCGTATGTATTTGTGGTGGATAAAGCTTTTGCTTTAAGCAAAAATATTATGAAACCTTACTCGGGAGTACACGAAAAAGGAAATCCTAAAAGAATTTTCAACTACCGGCTTTCTCGAGCACGCCGAGTAGTTGAAAATGTATTCGGAATTATGACCTCAGTTTTCCGAGTATTTAGAGGACCTATACTTCTAGAGCCAGAAAAAGTAACTGAAATTACTATGACTTGCACGTTGTTACATAATTTCTTAAGAAGAAGTAAATCGTCAAGTTCTATATACACACCCCCAGGCATTTTCGATAACGAAGATAATGATGGAATTATAATCCCAGGATCTTGGAGGTCTGAACAAAATAATATGAGGTCGATGTTTCCATTACAAACAGTGGCAAGAAAATCCAGCCTCGATGCAAAAACGGTTAGAGACCAGTTCTCTAATTATTTTGTGACCAGTGGAAAAGTGCCATGGTAAGACCGAGCTTAAATGGAATTATTATCGCTTTATTTAAACAACAACAATATATTATTATATTAGCATATGGCCTCGGCATAAAATAAACAAAAACAAAATAAATAAATAAATAAATAGTAATAACAATAGTAATAATAATAAATAAACAAATAAAAGTAGGTAACTAAAAACTAAGAATTTGGTAACTGTTGAGTTAAGTTGTGTCATAGTCGAATATCTAGATTTTCTAGCCATTCAATCGCGTTTTCTCCACCTTCATGTATGCCTCTCAATCCCCCATCAAATTTTGTTAAAGGACAGGTCTCGACTATATGCCTCGTTGTTTGGATATCTCCACAACCACAAAGAGGTGACTCACTCATGCCCCATTTGTGGAGTAAGTGATTGCATCTACCATTAGCAGTTCTTATTCTGTTCGTTGCAGTCCATAATGCGCGAGGAAAGTCAAATCCTGGAAGTTTCTGGGTCGGGTCTACAACCAGCTCTGCGTTTTTCACTTCAGCGTCCTTCCAGCGGCTTTTCCATTGGTCCTCTGTGGTCACTTCTGTTCCAAGTTCGAACCAGACTGGGCTTCTAGACTTAAGTCTTTTTACTGGATGTTGATAAATGTCCTCGTATACCGGGAGGTTTGGGTTTTGTTTTATTTTATTTAACAAGGAATGGGTTGCTGCTTTTCTTCTCAGGTCAGGAGGAGCAATGTGTGCCAGGACAGGGAGCCATTGTATTTGAGTACTTTTTACTGTTCCTGAGATAATTCTCATGGTATGATTTAACTGCGTATCGATTTTTTTACTGTGAGCGCTTCTTGTCCAAGCCAGCGCACAGTACTCTGCTGCACTATACACCAGTGCCATGGCTGAGGCATGTAAAGTATTTGCTTTACAGCCCCAGGTTGTACCAGCTAGTTTTGAGATTATGTTGTTCCGTGTTTTTAATTTGTCTTTCAATCCTTCTAGATGAGGTTTGAACGTAAGAGCTCTGTCCAACTTTACTCCTAGGTATACAACAATAATAATAATTTATAAATATCCAATAATAAATATATGAAATTAATAAAATAAAGATGTTTATAATAAATTATAGATGTTTTCATTATTAGAACCAAACTAAATCTTATTAAACTAATATAAATTTATATTACATGTATAATAGTTATTACGTCTATAATTTGGAAAAATATAAATAGATACCTACACTGAAAATGAATCTAATGATATAAAAATAATATAATATAGTATATAATATGATATGAGTTAGTATACATCGTATATTGTATCTTATTAATAAATAATTAAATAAACTTACCACGGTTGAAATGGTTTTTTTCGCCTCATAAATGCCATGTAAAAATGTCATGGATTCATAGGCAAACCAATCTGGTTTGTACACGTCGTCTGTACCACTACCAGTACCCTTGCTTGCCCTAACTTTATTTAAAAGTTTTCGATACGTGGCCATTAGTGAATCCTTTTTTTTTTTTATCTCGGTTATATCAAATTTCACGCTAACATTATTACAAAAATATAAATTAAATAATTCAAAAAATATTTTATTTTAATTAAAAAAAATAGTTTGCCAAGTATTACCTTAGTTTGCTTTCAATTTGCTTCCAAGCATCGTGAATTCAACTGCGATTTTTATGATCAGGATGGCGAGGATTCCAAATCTGTGGTTGAGTTTCATATAGCTCTAAGAACTCTAGAACCTCGTCATTGGTCCACTCCATGTTTATTTTTTTTTAATTAAAAAAATTTAAAAAAAAAAACCAAAAAAACTTGAAAATTTTCTAGTACTTCAGGTAAAGACTAGCCGATTCACACGCCTGTGGGAACGGTGTTTAGATGCGAGGCTCGTTTCCTTTGGCGCGGACACAACGGACCGACAATTTTCGGATAGCCACGAGCCTAGACGAGCTATACCGAGCCTAGACGAGCAAAAGTGTTCCCACGGCGCTTGTAGTGTACCGAGCCAGCGTACTTGGCTCGAAGCTCGCGGAGCCACGCGCCGTGGGTACCCGCCTTGAGGTAAACACAGTTTAGTGGTGTTTACATCTAATCAAAACACTGAAGACAGCCAGAATGAGGAATTCATAATTAATGCTGGTGATATAACATGTAATGATATCACCCTGTTTACGGCACAAGTGTTTGAGTGTTCAGGCATTTTAGAAAACGATTCTAACAACTTTGATGAATTTGTCATGAACGAAGACGAGCTCAGTTTACTAAATTCGTTTGAACTAGAAATAAAATAATGCATAATGATAAGAAATTATAAATTATATCATAAATATTTTTGTAAGTCTTCAGTCAATGAACTTTATTCTTCACCGATGAGTCCGAGGAAGAAAATTTAAAATATATTGCTGGTTCTGTAGCCAAAAAATATAAAACAAAATATCCATATTTGAAAGATAAATTTTCAAAGCCAGACAATGACTGGATTTTTTACATATCAAAAGGTTATTAAATTATTAAGTATTACTATTTATCTTAGCACTTGTAAATGTATATGCAATATCAACAATCAAGTTGTTTGTATGTTTTTAGGATATCTTGTTCGTCCATCAAAAACTTTGTTGAGTATCAGCTCAAGTAATTAACTCGATTTGGAATGTGTGACAATTTGAGTGTTAGAACTTGCTGATAGCCAACCAACCATCAGTCAATATTAGTAAATGATTGGAAAAACTACTAAAAAAAAAAAATGGGGCATTTAGAAGCATCAAGTTATCACTGTTGTTACTGATAATTGGGCAAATATATTGTCAGCTGTAAAAAGCATATTTGGTAGTGATAAACATTTACCGTGTTTTATACATACTCTAAATCTTGTCACTCAAAAATCTTTAAATAACCTTCCAGACATTTAAAATATTATTTCAAAAACCATCTAGAATAGTTAACTATGATGAAACAAATTTTACCGATGACCCAAAAAAACAAAAAATCATTGCAAAAAGAGGTTCTAAACATTCAGAAAATGTTTTAGACTCAACTAAAACAAGTGTATCAGTTATGATGGCAGGAAATGCAGATGGAGAATTATTACCATCATATATAGTGTATAAAGCAGAAAAATTGTACCCAAGTTGGACTGAAAATGGGCCACAAGGTTGTAGATATAATAGAAGTAAAAGTGGTTGGTTCGACCAACAAATTTTTGATGATTGGTTTCATTTTTTAGCACTACCTTTTTTAAAAAAAAAACCTAGTCCAAGGGTTCTTATTGGAGACAACTTATGAAGCCATGTGTCTTTATCTGTTATTCATGCATGTAAGGAGAATGATATTAGGTTTATTTTATTGCCACCTAATTCTACTCACATATGCCAACCAATGGATGTGGCATTCTTTAGACCACTTAAAAAGAAATGGAGAGATATTTTATTTGTGTGGACAGGTACTAGGTGGAATATTAAATATTATATGATAGATCGGTTTTTATTATGTTCAAACCCTATTGCATTGGTATTAATAAATATTCGTCAAGGCCCTTTGATATTATCTGCAACTAAAATAGATATTGCTAAAGAAATTAATTTTGTACTTAAATCTTTTGAAGTGGCAATTAAAGAGTTGTGTGGACAAAAGTCAAAACTATAAACTAGTAGTAAAGTTATTCCATTGATTCATTGCCTTATAAAAACTGTCAAAAAGAGCACAGACGGAAATGCAAATAATGTCACAAATTTATTAAAAAAAAAAAACTGCATATAAAGTGAATCGATTTTCTTTTTTGATTATTCTTTTCAAGATCGATTAATTTCAAAGAATTATCCATACCAGATATGCAGCATCTAACAGAGTGCGCTGCAGAACACTAGTTATAGTGATAGTCTATTAACACGTTGAACGCCGGTGACGACGCGTGTAGTTGTCATCCGATGTCGGGCGCGCCCAGCCGATGACGACTCGTAGTCGTCATATCACATATTTTGTATGTTATAAAAATGATCGGCTGTTGAACGGTGGTGATATATTTAGTACGGCCATTCAGTATAAGTATTAGAACAAAACAAACACCTGGTTTCGGTTTCCCGGTATTTTATGCTTATAAATTCGTTTATCAATATGAATAGTGTATAGCAGATAAACATTTATTATTTTCTATTAAAATCGATTTTAACACGTGAACGTGTTACTTTAAAAGTGTTTTATAGTTATATGTAATTCATTATTATAAGTATTATATAGTATATTATATAATAATATGAATTTTCAATAGCCGTCAACGAGTTCTAATACTCAAAAGTATGAAAACAAATATTTTATCTGATAACGAGTTACTGGATATTTTAAAATGGTACGTTTTCGTCGGATGAAGATTTCGACATTGATTCGAATGATGATGATGATGAATTGGATAAGTAATTTATCAGATGAAAATGAAATAAACAATGAAGATAATAATTCGTGCAGTATTGATAATAATTTGTTGAGCTGTAATGAAAATCAATCGTCTGGTTTACTGAATCTCGACTGTAGAATATTATTTCTATGGGTATAAATCCTGTTTAAAATATATATATACCAGGAGAATCAACTAGATTGCTTAATTTTTATTGCGGTGTGGACTTTCTTGTCAAGAAACAAATGCTTATGCGGTTGATGTTTTGCCGTACTACTTCAAATGTGCTGCAAATTTGCTTGGTTTGATAGCTAATAAATCAAATAGGGTTATCCATTACTCTTCCATATAGGGTACAATAAAACTACTAGGGATGAAGGTGTGGAAGACATAAATGTTATTCAATATGCAATTTTTCGCGAGAACATGGTCGAAATAGATTATGTTGTTATTTCAGGGCTTTGCATTTTCTCGTAGCATGTGGAAGTGTGGAAAATAACTGGGCTGCAGTTTATTAAACATTATTTAATGATACTAAATAAGCATCAGCCACTCTTGTTCTTCGTAAGAAAATCCGTAAAGTATGTATTTATAAGTCCTTCTGGTAAATTGTACAAAGGCAACCTTCTCTACAGTCAGTATTCAAACCG